ACCTTGTTTCATCACTTACATACAACTAAGACCACATTGTTAAGTAACTATCATTCTCATCAACATTAGGTCATAAAGTTTTCTCTCTTGTTTTTTACTACAAACTAGAATACTTTTGTTGCATTAGTCTTTTTTTTCATAATAGACAACAACTTGATTTTCGTCTGTTCCGTACAGTCAACAGCCTAGTTACATTATTCTTGCCCTTAAACAGAACAATTGTATCGTTTTATCTTTATTCTCGTCCACCAGTCAACACACTCGTTCCTCAGTCCGTCCACCAGTCAACACACTCGTTCCTCAGTCCGCACCGACGCTCCAACAGTTCGAAACAAAACCTCCTCATTAGGCTACGGATGGTCGCTTGGACTGGTCATAAATAACGGTCAGTCAGCCTTACACCGTCAGCCTTGGAACTCTGTTGCATAATCAATATTGGTGTTACCGGCTGCAGGGGTCATCACGCTGGCACCAGGCACGCCAACACTACTACTTCACCACCAACCATTCTGGCAGGGAGTCAAACTGGTCCCGAGAGCCATAATAATATAACGTTCCTGCCAAGCTATCCGAAGTCCTTTTCTTTTTAGCCTCTCAGCTACTGTGTTACTTCGAAAAGTAACATTTTATTAAAATTAATCTCTTTTAGATTAGAAAATTAACCTATTGTAGATTAAAAAGTAACCCATTTTAGCTTCGAAAGGTAACTTATTTCAACTTCAAAAAGTGACCTATTTTAATAGCCAGCAGTACTGCATGTCTATTCAAAATACCAGGACCTTATTATTTTACTGAGGAAGTATAGTAACTACCGAACACGCGATGTAATTTTAATGGTCAATTGTACTTGTTGTAGAGAACAAATCTTTTTATTGTTAATTGTTTATCCTAGGAAATAGGGTTGGTTAAGAAGGCAGGGTGGTTAGAAGGCAGGGTGGTTAGAAGGCAGGGTGGTTAAGAAGGCAGGGTGGTTAAGAAGCAGGGTGGTTGGAAGTAGGTTAAGCAGGTGTGGTTAAGAAGGGTTAAGAAGGCAGGGTGGTGTTAGAAGGAGGGTGGTTAAGAAGGCAGGGCGTAATAGTAAGAGGGTGGTTGGCTAGTCAGAGGTTAATAAGGCAGGTTAAGAAGGCAGGTGGTTAAGAAGGCAGGGGTGGTTAAGAGGCAGGGTGGTTAAGAATGTACAAGAGGGTGGTTAAGAAGGCAGGGTGGTTAAGAAGGCAGGCGGTTAAGAATATAGGGTGGTTAAGAATGCAGGGTGGTTAGTTAGGGTAATAAAGTCAAGGGTGGTTAAGAATGCAGGTGTATGGGCAAGAAGAGGGTGGTTAATAAGGCAGGGTGGTTGCTAGTCACAGGGTGGTTGGTTAATGCAGGGTGGTTATAGCAGCTATGGGTGGTTAAGAGTTACAGGGTGGTTAAGAAGGCAGGGTGGTTAGAAGGCAGGTATAGTTGCAGATAATACAGGGTGGTTAATAGTCACAGGGTTACAAATGTTAGGTGGTTAAGAATAAGGTGCATAATAATGTTATAAGTGTCAAGAATAAGAGGGTATAATAATGCTATAAGCATATGGTTAAGATAATAAGGTGGATAAGAATGCTAGGGTGGTTAAGAAGGCAGTTTAATAGTCATAAGAAATAATAGGTATAAGAGTTAAGAGGCATGGTGGTAGTAGAATGTGTTGGGTGGTTGAAGAATACAGGGTGGTTAAGAATACAGGGTGGTTAATAATGTTATAGGGTGGAGTTAGTAACAGGGTGGTTAAGAAGGTTGTAGTTAAGGCATAAGTAGTTAGGTCACAGGGTGGTTAAAAAGGCAGGGAGTTAGAGGCAGTGGGCTAAGAAGGAGGGTGGTTAAGAAGAGCAGGGGTGGATAAAGAAGGCAGGGTGGTTAATAATGTAGGGTAGGTTAAGAAGAAGGGTGGTTAAAAGGCAGGGTAGTTAATGTTATAAGTGGTTAAGAATATTTAAGAAGGCAGGGTAGTTAAGAAGGCAGATGGTTATAGGCAGGGTGAGTTAAGAAGGTAAGTAGTTAAGAATGCAGGATGGTTAGAAGGCAGGAGTAAGGAAGAGCAGGGTAGTTAAGAAGGCAGGGTGGTTAAGAAGGCAGGTAAGAAGGCAGGGTGGTTAAGAAGGCAGGGTGGTTAAGAAGGCAGGGTATAAGAAGGCAGGTAGTTAAGAAGGCAGGGGTAGTTAAGAAGGCAGGTGGTTAAGAAGGCAGGTGGTTAAGAAGGCAGGGGTGGTTAAGAAGGCAGGGTGGTATGAAGGCAGGTGGTTAAGAAGGCAAGGTGGTTAAGAAGGCAGGGTGGTTAAGAAGGCAAGGTGGTAAGAAGGCAGGGTAGTTAAGAAGGCAGGATGGTTAAGAGGCAGGGTAGCTGTAGGCAGGTGGTTAAGAAGGCAGGGTAGTTAAGGAGTGGAAAAGAGTAGTTAATTTAGTAAGTAAATGTACCGTAATCGGTAACTATAGTACTAACGGAAAGCAGTTTGTCAACCACCTCGTAGTTCAGTCTAGCAGCCTGACTATCGTAATCTAGTCTAGCAGCCTGCCTATCTCAATATAGTCTAGGATCCTAAATATCTATCGTGACTAACTTAATCCCCGAATTCCTCTTGTCTATTTACCTATAGTATTCTAATCTCGTAGCCTGGCTCCTTGTAGCCTATCCTGTAACTCAGCGTAGCAGTCTGGCTTCCATTAATTCACTGTAACCGAGTTAAAAGTCAGCCTCTCTTCCTATTATTCACACAATCCTAGTATCAAATAGTACAGTAGCCTGACCTCCTATTGTCTAAGAGTGCAGTAACCTCACTTCCTGTAACCTTATAGTACAGTAGCCTGACTTTCCTTGGGTTTTATGTAAGCTGTAGAAATCTAGTCTACTAAGTTGATTGCCATGTTAGCCTGACTACCCATAAGCCTGATCAACTAGAGCAATAACCTATACGTAACTTTACACCCCCATAACCACACCTCACCCATCACCACACCTCACCCATCACCACACCTCACCCATCACCACACCCCACCCATCACCACACCTCACCCCATCACCACACCCATCACCACCATCTCATCGTCATCACCACACCCCACCCATCACCACACCTCACCCATCACCACACCCCACCCATCACCACACCCATCACCACACCCACCCATCACCACACCTCACCCACCACACACCCATCACCACACCTCACCCAGCATCCACACACCTCACCCATCACCACACCACACCCATCACCACACTCCCCACCCATCACTCACACCCATCACCACACCTCACCCCATCACCACACCCATCACTCACCATCTCATCGTCATAACCACACCTCACCCATCACCACACCTCACCCATCACCACACCTCACCCATCACCTCACCCATCACCACACCCATCACCACACCTCACCCATCACCACACCCATCACCACACCTCACCCATCACCACACCCATCACCACACCTCACCCATCACCACACCCATCCCCACACCCCACCCATCACCACACCCATCACCACCATCTCATCGTCATCACCACGTCTTCCTAAGTCAACCTTCCGTATATACTGCACAAACTTTACACCACAACACCCTAACCTCTTGTCCCAGCATGATCCAGTGTAGTGTTTTAAAATGGTACAGCACTCTGATTCTAGTATAATCTATATTAATATGAGTATATTGATTATGTATTATTATCATAACTATTTTCCACCCCATTAATTGTTCTCAGGTATACAGTAATGGTATATATATTTTTTTTTTACTAAATAGGCGTTACCTTATGGGGTTTGGTCTACTCGATTTCTCCGGTATAATGAACTAGCTCATCTTAAACCTAGTATATGATTCTTAAAATACTATTATAACACAAATATTATATAAAAGCTTGGGAGTAGTGCATGAGACATAAGAATAATTACGATAGTCTAACCCCACCCTGCTGAGAAGGATGAAACCTGACTGCACCTTTAAGCTTGCAAAAAAATACAGCAAATTCTAACAAGAAACATTTACCAGGTTCTGAAGAAAATATGGTAATAACATCAGACCAAATAAAGAAATATTACATGAATGGTGTTAAGACGATGTAATATACTTTGAAACTATAACACAACGCAAAGTGTTTAAAAGTTAAGGAGTTGGGGGCAACACTGGCGCCAACTACGCCCATCCCACTTTTTGTCAAGTGTTAAATTTCCTCATTCACACGCACTGCCATTGTCAACACTTAGGTCATTATGGTACATGCAGTGTGTGTGTTTAAATATATTTGTTGGTAATTTAAATAACAAAAATATACTTGTGTATGATGCCATGTTAATGAGTGATTGACTGGTTCAACAGCTCTGGGGTTATTTAATTTATGTATGTTATTTCTGGTACTGTATTACGACGCGCCTGACAGGGTTCAGCCACACACTACACGACACCAGTTAGTCATAACGATGATGAAATTATTTAGCTACTAAACTGGGATTTCATTTTTTAATGGGTCAAGGCTGTATGTAATTACCTAACATGACTTGAACTGTGTGTTACATAACAACATAAGAGCACAGGACAGCCGTGTGCAGTGTGTACTACCACTGTTAGGCACAGCTCCCCTGCATACTCGGTCACTACTCCAATAGGCAATTTACCACTGTTGTCACGACTCGCCTCGCTAACTCATAACACAAAATGGACTGACTCGCCCACTTAAAGATACAGAAGGCAACATTAGATTACAGATATGTCTCGAACACGGTCTCGGGGTAACAGTATTTTCGCTTTAAACACCTGCACATTCATACCTATGCATTCTTAACGATACGGACCATCACCTGAACCCATTCACTCCAGAGCTTCCTTCTACGATACACAAAGTAATGCGTTCTTAATTTATTTCTACATTTAATCATGAAGGATCTTCTGACGCCAATCTTAGTTTACCTATTTAATACACATCGTCACACAACCTTCTAACTACATGTTATCAAAAGTCAAGGCCCATAGCTTACCTTGTCGGACGAACACACCCAGGAGGGTTATCAGGACTGCAGAACCGACGATATACTTATTCATTTTTATCTGTTTGTAAATTTCTGAATAGGAACCCAACAACCACTGTGCACAGCGCGTCCTACAACCTCTCTCTGCACCAACTCCTTCACAGATCGATAAAACACCGGCTCGTGTGCAGCCTCTGCAGCGCCACTCTTCCTCATCATTATATGATTTCTTGCTTTTAAATCTCTATCATTTTACTTTATTTGTATCCCACTAGTACACAAAAGTTATTTTGAAAAATGTAAAATTATTATTAACAACATCTAAAGAGTGAAGAAATAAACACAAAGTTTCTGCTAGGATGCATGGTCGTGGTGCGCGCGCAGGGTTCGTCACCGGCAGAAGACCTGAGCCTAGAAGTTGACCTCACAGCTGATAGGTTTCACTAAGGAATCCTGTGTTGATTTCGCTAATCTTCTAAATATACACTACATCGTTAGTGTTTTTAATTGCCTCAAGAATAGGTGATGATTAATCCTTACTGATTGGGATCCACGCAAATGTGAACTTAAGACAAATGTGTTAATTGATGGCCTCTTCATTTCTTATAATTTTTATGTTTTTTTAACACATTTATATTCTAGAATAACTACGAAATATACGATTACTTACTGATATATACTGTAGCTGTAGTATTGGGAGAAGCGTGTTTAACATAGGTACTATCAGTGCAACGCATGACTCAGCATCTCATATTGTGGGCTCCCTAAGTACTTATATAATACAAGGAATCATCGAAATGATAAAATTTGAGTGTGTTGTGTTCTTGTGTTTTGTTCAATACAGTGAAAACTAAAGGTGGTGTGCAGCAGTGAGTCCGGACGCGCGGTACGTATACACTGAAGTATTTATTGATTTTATAAAGAATTACAGCATGAACTAATTTACGGACGGCCGGGCTCCCTGTGACAACCGTACCGAATAGTTTGAAGTCTTAACAACGCCTCTGGTAAAACTATACAACTAATATTGGATAGCGTGGGATTTCTTTCAGTACTAGGTCGAGTTAAGAAACTATTCGTTCTCTTCTTCACATTATCATCACAGAAAACATGGATATCGTATAGAGTATTGGCACGAAACTTAACTTGTGAACATATTATCGGAATGATCATAAAACTTCAATGCTGATTTCGTATGTAAGACAAAGATGTTTAGAAACTGACTTGTGACTGTTGTTTGGTGAGCAGTGGTTAAAAGGTGGGGTCCAGGGTGTGGGGGTGTGGTTAAAAAGTGGGGTCCAAGGTGTGGGGGTGTGGTTAAAAGGTGGGGTCCAGGGTGTAGGGGTGTTGTTAAAAGGTGGGGGTCCAGGGTGTGGTTGGTGGGGTCCAGGGTGTGGGGGGTGTGGTTAAAGGGTGGGGGTCCAGGGTGTGGGGGTTGGTTCTGAGGGGTCCCAGGGTGGGGTCCAGAGTGTGGTTGTGGTTAAAGGGTGGAGTTCAGGGTGTGGGGTGGGGGTTAAAGGGTGGGGTCCAGGGTGTGGGGGTGTGGTTAAAAGGTGGGGTCAAGGGTGTGGGGGTGTGGTTAAAGGGTGGGGTCCAGAGTGTGTAGATGTGACTTTTTTATATATTTTACGTTAGTTATGACTAATTACCGTATTCCCATAATCGACTTATAAAATGAATTACAAAAATTTCACGAAAGAAAAGTTTAATACTGTTTATATATCCTGCACTTGTACGTTGACACGCGTCTCTCTTATCTCCTACAGGGGGGCACGACGATTTTAGACCTGAGTATGTGGGATATATGTGTGGGGAGATACTGTGTTGTCAAGTGTTGTGTGAAGGGTCCTTTATGTAGGCCAATAACTATGTTGATTATACGGTGTTTACGTCTGAAACCCACACAGTGTAGTTTTATTACTCAAAAGCCTTGTTAAAAAATAAATCCCAAAGTAGTTATATTTTCCAATAGTTATGGGAAATCCTGGGTAAATTTTTCTTCGCAGTTCATTACTTCAATAAAAAAATTACGTGAAATTTCTCACCGTTTATAATTCTTATTTATAGAAAAATTAACCTATTTTTTCAATGTTGATAATTTTTAATTGCAGAAAATTTCTAAAATAAATCTCTTAAAGTTTAAACTCGTAGAACATAAAAGCAAACCATTTTCTGTAAACTAAACTTCCAACAAGCGAATATATTATTATTCAACGCATCTATGAACAGCTGCCAAGGTCAGGCCACCTGGACCTCAATATCACAATAACACAAACGATTTCCAAGCTCGTGTGTACTGGGGTTAAATATAGAACATTTCACCTTTTTGTCGCTGGGTGAAGCAATACGTTGTTAAGGGTAATGTTCACACTATAAAGGCTTAAATTACTAGTAAGTTCTTAAGACTATGAAAACAAAGGATTAAATTACTAGTAAGTTACTGAAGACTATGTTTACAGTTTAAGGCTTAAGTAGTAGTAAACATTTTCTCTACTTAAGGAGAACTTAGGCAAACATTTCTGCCTATTTAAAGAGATTTCTGTGAGAAGCAAATCTCTACGAAAGCCAAGAATTGGCATTCGACTCTCTTAATTCTAATTCAACTTAGACGAATTACATAAAACTATGACAAACGACTTTTTTATTTAGAATATTGACAAACAAGTCTCTTTACTTACACAAAACCATGACAAACAATCTCCTCTACCTGCGTATAATTACGATAAATTTTTTTATTGGTTTCCAAAGAGCTATGAAAAAGAGTCTTTACTTACCTGGAATCATGACAAACAACTTTATATATATATATATATATATATATATATATATATATATATATATATATATATATATATATATATATATATATATATATATATATATATGTATATATATATAAGAGAGTCGGTCAGTAAAACAGTTCTTTGACTATTAATTTCTCCTTCGTAATAATATTGGGATTTCATAATCACAACAGTAGTACAAGGGAAACCCGCCAGATAAGAAGACTTAAAGAGTTCGGTCGACCTTGTGGTATGTGAAGGTGCAGGTGATGGTAGCGTGAGTCAGGTGGTTCATCTCACGCTCACCTCCCGGGCACCACACTAAAAAGACACACACCCCACCGGCCTGAGTTTGACAGTGTGAACCATGGCTCCGTTGACCACGCTCGTAACCCTCTTGTTCCTCTCTCTTGGTAAGCTTTATTTATTCAGGGGTTTATTCCTCGACTCACTGGCCATTGCTTTACGTCGATAAGACTACATAAAGCAGTATGTGCAGTTTCAGGCAGTAACCCCGACCGCTACCCTATTTTGACTGCCATACCTGAAGTTTATTTTATCTTTAATGAAATATGAAGTTATTTTCTTAAGCACTTCCATGACAAGACAGGGGAATGGAAGTGGGTACACAAGGGGGTAACACTGCAAGTGACCGCCTTCACTAACCGTAACTTTACTCATTCTCATCCATTTATATATAAGCAATACAATCTGTGTATGTGTGTTCCTTATACATTTTCAGTTTTAATGATAGAGATGAAATTTGGTAGGGAGGTGCGGGTGGCCTAAATGATGGTTGGGCACTATCTCCTGTCCTCCGCCCGGGCGAAACCATGTGTTTCCATGCTCTAACAATCTGTCTCACTTTAAAAAGCTGGTTTTCCGGCATCTTCGTGGTGTAGATTAATACAGTATAACCTTTTTTTCTATATTTACAATTTCTTTCCGTTCTTTTTTTTTCGCCCCCCAGGCTCCGTTGTGGGTCATTTGACCTGTGCCCGGGTGGGCTAATTCCCGTTTAAAAAAAAAAAAAAGTAACCCAACAAGTGTTTTCTACATCTCTCCCAACTACAGGGTGACTAGACACGATTTCCAGGTACAGTGTCACAGCTTCCATATTTAGTAACATTGTACTGTTTTTTGGTGACAGGATGAGACTGTAGGCTCCTGTGTTGTCTTTACAGCGGCTGGCGTGCCACTAGGGGACTCTTACAAAGAAGAGAGTGTGGCTCTGGAGTTCCGTAATGCCCTTAGCACAGGCCATGTTGGCCCTACCCTCAAGCAGGTCGCCAAAGGTAAGTCATCATTTTCCCTTTCACCACCACCACCACCACCACTTCTCAATACTTCTACTTTAAGATAAACCACTGACTCTTTTTAAGAATTACAAACACAAATACTGGTCAAAAATATATGGGCGACTTTTTCGGGTTCCTCTTTGACTAACACCTTGATTCTATAGTGATTATTATCCTCGTTCTTGATTCCAGGTTATTTACATAGCGAGCAAATTTTTATTTAAGATGCTTCGTTAATTCTTGAGACATATAAAATAGATCAACAGAGAGAAGAGTACACACAAGTAAATAAGCATACAAATATGCACTGGGCTCATCACCAGACGCTCCCTTACATGCACTCAAGTCCTGATAACATAAAAATGGTACTGGAAAACAATTATTAAACTTTAACTCACTGAGACTAAACTACCGTACGAGATATGTTACTCACAGTGGCGTTTGTGTCTACACAGAGCTGGATTTAAGGAGTTGGGTGGTAAAGGAGTCCCACGAGATGAAGGCAGCCGATACCATCAATTTGTTCTGTCCCGCCTGTAACATCGGCTTTGGGGAGATTATCCACTTGGTCAACAATGGCACCGATCCGAAGAACATTGTCGACAAATTGATCATCCTCTGTGTCGACCTTGGCATCTCCAACCACATCTTCTGCGAGAGTTTTCTATGGGAGGTTCAGGTGAGCTTCTTATCACTCCTTAAATAATAATACCCTGTATGGTACAGTCGGGGTCAAAAGTTCGCTCCCTCCGAAAACGAAGCAGCATCGACCCCAAACGATATGCAACAGTCAGGGTAAGTCAGTTCCAGTGACTCAGTTTCACCACGGGAAGCAAATTTCGGACCGCGACTGTACATGTCACTGAGTAACAGTCATCGATTATGTGGTATTCTAAGTGAGGAAAGATTTGTCAGGAACTTTGGAATGTCAATTTACGCACACACAGAGGTGAGAGTCTGCAGATCTAGTGGTAATACATCAAGTAAAAATACGAGGCAATACTTTATCGCAGCAAATAAAAATACCACGGCTGCACAATGAAAACCCTGAAGAAACTATATACGATTGCTGTTTAAATAATATAATGGGAATAGTCTATACACTAATTCAATGTAAGGAAGAGCTTCGTTATCGTATGCCCTTAGCAAATTTGTTTAACATGTCATTAAAAACGGGTGTAGTACCAGAATCCTGGAGGGTAGCAATTGTAATACCGATTTTCAAGAAGGGTGATAGATCACTATCCTCTAATTACCGCCCAATCAGTTTAACATCAATTGTAGGCAAATTACTGGAATCAATAATTTCAAACTCTATTCGAAATCACCTGGAGAAGCACAAGTTGATCAATGATTCCCAACATGGCTTCACAAGCGGGAGTTCATGTCAAACTAATCTATTAACATTCTTTTCAGCTGTTTTCGAATCAGTGGATGACGGGCACGACAGAGTCCCCCACGAAAGAATGATACGAAAAGTGGAGGCTCATGGCATTAGAGGAGATATTCTAAAATGGATTAGGGCGTGGTGAAAGGACAGGAAACAGCGAGTAAGCATTAGCGGCACTAAATCCGATTGGAGTAACGTCATTAGTGGAGTACCCCAAGGCTCAGTACTTGGACCATTATTATTTATCATATACCTAAACGACAGAGATATAGCCGTAGACAGCAACATAAGTAAATTTGCTGATGACACTAAAATAGGGCGTATAATTAAATCTGACGAGGACTCCGCAAAACTACGGGACGATCTAAACAAATTTTTCGAATGGCCTGAAAAATGGCAGATGAAATTGAATGTGGACAAATGTAAAATACTTAGTCTTGGGGATGTAAGCAGAGAAACCAGATACCAGATGAACAACGATGTTATAGAGAAACCCGACTGTGAGAAAGATTTAGGAGTAATGATAAGTAGGGATCATAAACCTCGTAAACAACGTGTATTCGCTCGAAACAAGGCTAACAAAGTACTTGGGTTCATACAAAGGAATGTTAGTTACAAGACTAGCCAGGTCTCTCTGAAATGCTAATAAACTGAATCACAACATAAAATAATAATGCAAACTATACATGATAGATTATATAAGTATGCTATAAATCACTACATTTCTTTATACATGGCAGCGAACTCCAGGTTTCACTGAATCATTTAACTTTACCTTGCCTGTACGTCTCCAGTCCCAGTTGTTGTGGGTGATGGAGCACCGGGAGGGGCTGACAGGGAAGGACATGTGCGGCATGATGTTCGGCGGGCTCGGTTGTCACACCAAAAACCCAGACCGAGTGTGGGAGGTGACACTGCCTGACGTGGAGAAACCTCCTGTTACTGACCCCGTTCTGCCCGAGGTGAGTCTCGCCCTGCAAGCGACTGTTGCCACGAGTTTTACGTCTAGAGTTAATTTACAGAGCTGGTTCAGTGTCTGAGGAACACTGTAACTGTAACTTATGATTCGGGGACCTGTTATAACCAGCAGTAGTGTGAGATGTGGCTTGGATTTGTTAAGCAACCTGTTCTCCAAGATATGAATGTAAATTACAAAGTACCACTGTCTGCACTGAAACATCCAACTTCCCAGTTATCATTTTATTTTATTTTAGTAACAACAGCCCAGGACCCAGAGATACAGTAGCTATTATTGTAAAATAATTAATATTATATATATGTTCGTAAAATTGAGTCACTTTACTTTGTGTGGATCTCAGCCTGGGTCCCCCGTGATGAAGATCCTCCACTTGGCCGACACTCACTACGACCCTGACTACCTGCCCGGCAGCAATGCCGTCTGTGGCGAGAAGTACTTCTGCTGTAGGGCAGAGAGTGGTAGGTACTCTTTTGAGAATAGAGAACAATTAACTGGATATTAAATTTTTAAGACCCTTCGAAATGTTGTGTGTTAAGGACAAAATTAACGATTATCATGACCTTTTTGATTACCCAAAAAGTGCTAAACTAATTACTACCATATCAACGAAAACATACCATAACCTAACCATTACTGTACAGACACTGTAATTTATGTACAGTACGTATATTATTATCTGTAACTGTATATTTTAAGTAATAAATGTGACAGTGCATGGTATATCTTACGTAAATTATGCGTATGGCAACAATGTATAAATAGAGAAGACAGTACATGGTAAATCTAACGTGTAGAACTGTAGAACTTGTGGAATGAAATAAGTGTATGATGTCGACGCTGGCAGGTCCAGTGGTGCACCCGGAGGACGCGGCTGGCAAGTGGGGGGACTACCGCAACTGTGACGCCCCTAAGTGGCTCCTGGAAAAACTCTACGAACACGTCAACAACAATTACGAGGTACAACTCCTTGCCTAGTGCTTCACCTGGATCATTAACCAATCAACATCATGTTCCCCCACTACCTAGATTCACTATTAATCAACACCATTGATATAAATTTTCTCAACCAATCAGTGTTATGTTATGGTCGTCTTGTTTACTAGTCCTTATATCCAGGTGATCATCCAACAATCTTGCTCCCATTAAACCAGCTTAACTGTCTCTCCTGATAAATATACCTGTAAATCATTACTTTATCTTCCATTAGCCCCCGTGGTCAGGTTTTCGTTTCATAATACTTAATGAACACATATCACCAACTTTTCGTCTTAGCAAATATTCGGGTTTCCAACTTCTCTCTCAGTACCAAATATTATTATTATTATTATTATTATTATTAATTAGGACATAATTTAATCTGGCGTAAATGTTAATCTAATCAAAATATACTTCTAAAGTACTGTACCATCTATACACATTTTTTTTACTTAACTATCACTCGTCTGGACCCATCAGGACCTGGACTTAATCATCTGGACTGGGGACTTGACCCCTCATATTGTGTGGAACACTTCGAGGGAAGGCAATCTGAAGGTGATCAAGGAAGCCGTCCAGATGATCCACGACTACTTCCCCGGTGTCCCCGTCTTCCCTACCATTGGTAATCATGAGTCCCACCCCGTCAACGCGTGAGTTTCCACCCCACTATTTCATCTCTCTCTCTCTCTCTCTCTCTCTCTCTCTCTCTCTCTCTCTCTCTCTCTCTATATATATATATATATATATATATATATATATATATATATATATATATATATATATATATATATATATATATATATATATATATATGTGTGTGTGTAACCGGTCGGTATAATCTCACTACTAGTTATTGTTTGTTTTTTAGTTATAGTAGATGGTAATGCAGTGGAAGCGCCCCTCAGAAAAAAATCCCGAACCAGCACAAACACAATTAAATAAAAGTATTCTCCGTGACCGTGGAAAGCTATCACCTGTGATTGGGGTTAATGAGGCGCACTGGTAAAAGATGACACTTCTATTCCTTCCAACACTACAGACACAATCAATAATTGTACACAAGCACTAAAGCACCTCTTAGCGTGGCTTAAAACACTACGATGGAAAACAAAAGTTATACATGGTATCAAAAATTATTAAAATATATTAATTGCATCTGGAGAGGACTACTAATCCAGCAGTACTACCTACACCAGAACAAGGAACTCATCTGAAACAATTCCTTCGTACATCCTACATCACTTAGCGGCACATAAAATATTAAAAAAATATTACTTGCACCGATTAGCATGCCTTAAGGGCATCCGACAAAATTATAACAATCACTGAGGAACAGAAATCCCGATTTTAGTCATACTACACAAGAACATGGATCACTCATAGCCTGTCTGGGATGACCCACAAAATACTATAATCTTAACTGTCCTAACTACCCAGAACCCGAAGGTTGTAACTACTAACCTGCCAAGTGGAAGGCATTTACAAGAAACTGAGAAAATCACTCATGACCCGTCAGGCAGGCGGGTGCTCCGCTGTTTTTTTCATTACTTTCTCTAGATTTCAGGAGTCATGAGTGATTTCTCCACCAACACCCTTAATATGCTTCACATATAGGTTCAGAATGCACCCGCACTTTTATGGTACTAACAGCCTTTCACAAACTTTTGGAGAGGAACTCCAACGTCCCACATAATCATTACAGAACAGTATCCTATCCTTTCCAGCTGGATCCACTCAATAATTTTTTTCTGTACATTAAACCCGCCATTGACATCAACCATGGCTACTGCTCTTCGTGGACTGCAAAACACTTCACTTTTATTTAGGACATTTTACTCTCATTCGGTATTGAGATAGGAATGTCTAGCTAATAAGTCCGTAAGAAATTTCAGCTGAATATATCTAAGTGTATATGTATTATTCCTGGACTAGATTCCCTCAACCGTACATTGATAACGAGTTCGACATATCGTGGCTGTATGACGAGATCGCAGAGCTGTGGGAGACCTGGCTGCCACCTGAGGTGGCTACCAGCATCGCATACTCTGCCTACTATACTACGCTCATCAAACCTGGCCTCAGGGTCATCTCCACCAACACCAACTACTGTTACGACTTAAACTGGTATGATCCTCCTATTACACAACTGTTCTCTCACCTACTGCATATGTTTTATACTAGCTTTGGTGTTCTTGTGGAAATGTCTGTGCTACAAGCACGTCTACAAGCCATGTTTTACGGTAATATTTTGGGATTCTGTGAGTGTTTAACAATGAGTGTTTTTTTATCTTGAGGTTTCATATGTACAGCCTATTCTTCATACTACTAGAGGGCTTCCTGATTGCTAAGAGCCTTAATAGACAACGCAGCGATGCTCAACCCTAGCCACCTCCTTATCATGGGGGACTTTAACTATGGTGACATCGACTGGAAAAACGAGTTCACCCCAAATGACTTGAATAACCCTGCTACTCTTTTTGTAGAAACTCTGAGATAATTTTCTGTTCCAACATTTTAGAGACCCGACACATTACAGAGGGGAGCAAACACCCAAGCCACTAGACCTCACCATAACAAACGAGGAGGGTATGGTGGTCAAACTGGAACACCTTGCCCCAGTTGGGGCAGATTCTGACCAGGATAAAGCTGAGGAATTAAACAGCTTCTTTTCCTTTGTGTTCACAAGAGAGGATGCGATTAACCTTCCTGCGTTTAAGGACAGATGGTTCGACACAGCACTGACCCACATTGTGTTCACAGAAGAGGGTACAGTATTAGATATAAACTGTCAAAGCTAAAGGTCCATAAGAGTCCCGGACCGGACATGGTGCATCCTAGAGCGCTAAGAGAGTTGTGCAACGAGCTTGCCAAGCCACTGAAGATCCTGTTCTGTAAATGCCTGGATGAACAAAAGGTCCCCAGTGATTGGAAAATGGCTCATGTGAGTCCTATCTTCAAGAAGGGCGATCATCACTTCACGAACAACTATAGACCGGTGAGCCTGACCAGCATAATATGTAGAGTACTTGAGAGTATTATCAGAGATGCCGCGATGGAACGTCTACTATCTACTAAGAAACAACCTTGTACAGGATTGCCAATACGGTTTTATGCCGGGGCGCTCCTGCTTAACACAATTGCTCAAGGTATTGGATATTTGGACCCATATTATGGAACGGGGTGGTAATATTGACACTATATACCTACCATTTGCCAAGGCTTTCGACAGTGTACCCCACGAAAGGCTGAAAATCAAACTAGAAGGGTACGGAATTCAGGGAAATGTCCTAGTGTGGATAGAAGACTTTCTACATGACCACAAGCAGTTTATGGTGATTAATGGCACGAAATCATCTGTACCTGTCACAAGCGGGGTACCACAGGGCAGTGTATTGGGCCCGCTGTTGTTTGTTTGTTTCATAAATAAAATGCCTGTCGTTGTACACTCCTCCGTACAAATGTTTGCCGATGACGCCAAATTATTTCGGGAAATCAAGAACCAAGTGGACCGTGAAGAACTACAGAAGAATCTCTGTGAGCTCCAAGAATGGTAAAAGAAGTGGCTACTGAGATTCAATGTCACGAAGTGTAAGAGGATGCACCTGGGGCGTACCAACGGTAAGGAGGCGTATCATATGTCCCAACGGGATGAAGAAACTGCACTATTTGAAACTGAATGTGAGAAGGACCTAGGTGAGTATGATGACAATGAGCTGAAGTTCTCGGGCCATTGCCACAAGAAGGTAAATCGGGCAAATACATTATTGGGTCTTATAAGAAGGTCGCTCAGATATCTAGACGGTCCGTCCCTCATAACGATCTTCAGGAGTGAAGTGCTTCCCCATCTGGAGTACTGTCACCCTGTCTGGTCCCCGAGATATGCTAGGGACTGTCAGTTGGTTGAAAATGTTCAAAGGAGGGCCACCAGACTGGTGCCTGTACTTCAACTACCCTGAGAGAATGGAGTGCCTGAACTTGACTAGCTTATACTACAGACGGACAAGGGGTGACCTAATAGAGGTGTATAGCTTCTCAAGGGGCACTACTCAGTCGAGTGTCCATACCTGGAACTGGCAGATGCCCGCCCCACAAGGGGTCACAGAATCACAGCTCAAGGCTAAAAAAGCCATAAGTAAACTGTGAGGGCAAACCTTTTCGGGGTGAAAACTGTGAACTGTAGGAATGATCTGCCCAAGGGCGGATCCAGGGGGGTGTCCTGACCCTCCCTATTCACCAGAAAATTGCAATGCTTTTTCTTTAATGCAGTACTGTACTAGGGCAGGTTTTTTTTTAGTAAAGCATATTTGCTATTGACTTAAGAATACACTATCTCCTAATATCAAGGGCACATGGCTTCAAAATTGCAGTGCTCGCCATGTTCCCCCACCCGCAACTTCTTGGACCCACTTTTGATATTCCTGGATCCACTCCTGCTGCCAGAGTGTTGTGACGACACCCAGTGTGAGCTCTTTCAAGACCAGTCTTGACTAACACTGGAGCAGGTTCAGATAAATTTAGGAGCCAGTTCATGCCCAGTACTTGCCAATAGTGCGTAACAGAGATGTGACCGACCGCCCAAGGGGCCAACGAGCCATTCAGTGATGAAGAGGATAAAAGTAAAAAGTAAAAGTAACTGGACGTGGGTCAATGAGAATTTTAGCATACAGTATTGTATTACCAAAAAGCAGCCATTGTATTTCTTTATTGTTTCTTTGACTTGAATTAGAAATATTGAATAACATATATTCATTTAACAAATATTGCATAATGATGATCTTATACATAATCCGATTCAACTAGTGTATCAAAATTCATTTGTTGACCCCGATATCGACCTCCAATCTAATGCCTTCACTGTTTTGGGTGTCAGGTGGCTGGTGTACGATGATGTGGACCCAGCGGATGAGCTTCACTGGCTGGCTCGTGAGCTGCAGAAGGCCGAAGATGCTGGCGAGTTGGTGTACATCTTAGGTCACATTCCACCAGGTCATGAGGACTGTACTAACACCTGGAGTCACCAATACAATAGGATCATATACAGGTAATATATTACAGTCTCAGTAATTTCTTTTACCTATAGAGTGCATAAGAATGGAGGAAACTGCAGCTGGCCTATTATAAAGAGAATAAGCAAGACACTTACAATATTGATATAACCTACACAATGTCCTATCAGTGTGAAGTTATGGTGCGAACATGTAAATGTGTGTACATATATCATGTATGCCTAAATACCTATTTACGGAGTTGTTGGTCGTCGTCCTTCCCAGTCGTAGCACAGCTGATCTCAGGCGCGGGTGGGGTGGGGGAGGGGTGAGTCAATCGTCCCTCCCACTGGCACAGCTGAACCAAGGTCACGGTGGGTGTGTGTATACTTCAGTCTCCACCTGGTTGCGTAGCAACCAAGATGCCACAAGATGACGACAGGTGAGTCCACTATCCACCAAAATTAATGACTGCTGGTGTCGAAGTCTCTGGATACCTGCTCACTGACGAGATGCTGCTCCTTCTGTGTGCCAAACCTTTTGAAGCCCTGTATATATAGGACTCGCTGAGGGCACCGGGAGATTGTACAATCTTCAGTCACGACAGCCAAAACAGTCTTAAACAATTGTGGAAGGTCCTTGTGTTGCCAAACCGTGAAACTCGCAGGTATGTAGCAACACTGTAAGCGCCAGTACACAGGATGCTCACTGCTGAACATGCGAATTCTTGGCCGCCACTCCTTGTTGCCAGACAAGGGTATTACCAACCTCCCGTAAGATATAAAGTCAACAATAACTCAGAACCGATTATTGGAAATATTTCTGTACACCTCTTTGGATGACAGAATGAAGGTCACTCAACGTATAACGTCTCACTACGGGATATGTCACTACACTCGGATATTTCATTCAACACGTCACTGTTTTTTGTTTTTCTAGTTTTGTAAAACACTGATGATTTTGTTATGTCTGTACTGATTTAGCTGAAATTCGAAACAACCGCTGCCACCTTAATGTTCTAGGCCAGTTAACTGCTGATTCTGTCTAAGTTAACGAGGCTGGAACATTTATATTATAGAGGGTTTTTAGTAACGAAACCCAACTGTCTGTTATCCATTTATTAAGGAACTATCTAGGATACAGTTCCAAATGTAGATCACCGTAACTTATCACTGTAGCTACGAGTGGTAAGAGGAGGACGGAGGCTATGTTAAATAGTCCTGCTAAATACGTCCGATCTCTGTGAGGGGTTGAGTAACAATGCCGGAAGGCGCCGGCCTTTTAATGCAGACAACTTGTCAAGTTGGAAGGATGTACAGTACAGTACTGTAGTGTACTGCAAGTATGATATCATCAATAAGACAAAACTAAGACTAAACATTACAAAGAAATACCATTTTGATAACACCAATAAAAGTAAATCCTTACAGGTATGAGTCAACCATTGTTGGGTTGTTCTACGGCCACACCCACAAAGACCACTTCATGATGTTCTATGACCCCAACAAGCCAGAGCGGGCATACCATGTAGGTTATGTTGCACAGAGCCAGACGACCTATAACGATCTCAATCCTGGCTACAGGGTCTACATCGCCGACGGCGACTATAATGGTTCATCTTACGTAAGGCCAATCTACCACTTATGACAGGAACAACAACACGCCACTCTTATGTCACCTTTTTGTTATAAACTAGCTTCAGAAGTAACAAAGCACACTACTGTGACATGACAAAGTCTGTCAGTGACATAACCAAATATACACAGCTTGCTCTTTTTGTCCTGTTGCACAGTCACTCAGTGCACTAGATTTACAAGCTTCACACATTGATGTTCAGAGATGCTTAAAAGGTGAAAGGTGATCTAAAAGCATAACTTGTGTCCTTAGTGATAACTGGACTGAAAATCTACTGGTGCAGCCATCACACTAAATAATCCGTGATCCCCTATACTGTACAGTATTAAATTTAATGAAATGGGCCCAAAATTGACAAATTTTTCTTCTATTGATAAGCAGCATTACCTAATCACCTTAACTTGAAGACATCACAGAAACAAGACACATATCACATTAAAGTCAGTTTAGTGTGCACTCATTCATACATGACACACTCTAGTGACATGTCACTTTTTGAGACCCCTCTAATGCCATATGTAGAGGAACACTTAAATTATCTCAACTTATTGAACAATACTTAAGGGGAATAATTTTTTAATATTTGTGGCAAAGAAGAAATTGTAGTGTACATTCTCTCCTTTGTCACGTTATTTAGATGTCTTTCCAACAAAGTAAATATTGTATGTGAAATATATTTTGAAATAGAAGGAACATTAATATGATTGCATCTTATGAAGCAAAAAAACTTTAGTCAGAATCAATGATTTTTGTCCACAATAGTACTGTATTGCATTAGCATTATTAATCATTATGAAACATCCTCGTGTGGCTCTATGACAGCGAGTGTTGGACACGGAAAACTGGGCGCTGGATCTGGACGAGGCCAACAAGAACGATGACCCCAGCTTCTACCTCCTCTACAGTGCTAAGGAAGCCTATGGGTCAGTCTCCACTACTCTCCAATTTCCCCTATGTATCTTGAGACTTTTTTCAATATCTGGGAAAATCAAATACTGTACTTGAAAGACTGTTCAGTTCTTGTTGCCTGTGTAATATTTTCAACCATACAGCATCACTCAATTAGTCATTGGACCATTTTACATCTTGATAAATGGAATAACCTGGCGTGTAAAGAATGTAAATCTAGTGTGATAACAAGAAATAAAACATAGTTTGATAACCAGTGATGAAGAAGACCACCAGGTCCAGACCTCACTTAACCCTTAGGCCCCGGGTGAAATTCCAGAACATCCGCCTATTTTCCTGTCATTTTTTTATTTATTTTTTTAAAGTTGATTTTTTTTTCTCGATTTATCCCCACGGTGGGGGTACTGCCAGCAGCACCCTAACCCGGGGCTTAAGGGTTAACCCATAACCTAATAATCCTGGGGTTGGTTAGTTCATGTGGTCTGTTTTATAAATAATTTTCACTCAAGTTTTTTCCTTGTTTTCTGACTGGATTGTATTCTGTACAATTTAAACAACCATGACAGTGAACATCCCCACACTAAGATATCAAGAACAGTAGAAGCATAATATTGCCAATAACTCTGTATTGCATGAAGATAATTACAGTACAGTACAGTATGTTGAATTCCATTTGATAAGTCCAGTTTTCATGAAACAAGTCACCAGATCTAAAACTTTTACAACATTACCGAGCTGGATCTGTTAGAAATCAATGAATCAGGAGTTCTAGCCACTTACTCTTTAAAACCAAACAATTCGTAAACCATAACTTTAGCTACAAACCTCCCAAGCCATCATGAGTTACGTCTGTCTTTGCAACAGGTCGTGCGTGCCCAGTGGCCAAATGGTGGCAAATCCATTTTTATTTTAGAATTCCTGCATCATCTCTGTAAACTGTATTTATTAGTCTGCTGCTGAACTGTATTGGTTTTGGTTTTATTTGCTGGCTCAGCTACCTTGTGCATTTCTACACAGTACTGTACATTATTTCTTTGTGTGTGTGAACAGGATAAATGACCTGTTCCCGGAATCGTGGGCAAACCTGGTGGAGGAAATGAAGCAGCCCAACAGCACTGCTTTCAAAGACTTCTTCAAGTAAGTCATCTGATCAAAGCTCAGTCAGTAATAGTATGTGAAACCATTTTACTCTTACTGTACACAAGCCCTTAAATGTATTACAGGTACTTAGGAATTGTTGTCATTCTGCTGCTTAAGTATGCAATGGCTTACCTGTGTAATATTACCTTTGGGGTGAATTATTAACATGAACCATGGTCCTCTGGAGGGAAATGAGGCACTTGCTTCCTCTATATATTTTCTAATTTAATTATATCTATTGGGCTATACTGTATATGTGAAGTTTCCTGGACTTTTGCCTGACATATCTACAATCATAACTTGTTTGAAGGACTTTCTCATGCTTGATCCTTATCGAATTAAATGTAAAACAAATTTTACCCAATAATGAGATGACATTTAGAAAATAAAGTTATATATTACATATTGCCTTGCTATACCTAATCTACCTGTAACTAAACTTAACATAACCTGTCTTATGAAACTTAAACAAATTTAACATGAATGATTCTAACTAAACAAGATAAACTATTTAGGATCTGAAATATGCATCTCACTGGAATAAAAAATATGGTGTTTCCTTCCCAGGTTCTACAGCAAGGACGGAAGACCTTACCGTGAGAAAGGATGTGATGAAAAGTGCAAGGCATCACTTATATGTCGCCTGATTGTTTCAGACACATCAGACAAATCCCGCTGCGATGGTCTTTGAGTCAGGAGTCCTTAAGTGACAAATACGGACAGTATACTGACCACTGCATATATCGTAGTGATTCTTGACATACAGTTCACAGTAAGCAGCAAGCCTACATAGTGAGCTGATTTTTGTAAACTAAGTGAATATCTGAGTCTTTCATATATTAAAAAAAATAATTATAAAATTTCCATATTCATAAGTTTTTTAATATCATAATTTGTATGAGTTAGAACACATCCAGTAATTTTACTTTCCGCACACACCGTACCTACAACTTGCATTACTAAGGTAATATGGTGTAAATACCTGAACAATACTTTTAACCAAATTTTTTTAGAATATTTCAAGACTTCTGACTAATAACATACTAAGATCCTTCCAGATTCATCTTTTCTGTGATCTTTTTGTCACATGTCCTCGTGCTATTAAACACACATTTTCTTTCCAGTCTACCTGTATATTTTATATACTTTTCCAAAAATACTTTATCAGCCAGGTAGATACAAAAGTCAAAGTTAAAAAAAAAACCCTTCATTTACAACCTCATGATGATGTGACTGACAATAATGATTATTAACGTCAGTGACAGAGGTGGTTTTCATAGCTTGCGCTTAGTCACCAATCACTTTGTGCAATGTTTCTCAACCACTAATTTATCATAATGCTGAAAGTCTTACTTTATTTATCTCTTCTTCTCTAATTTGGAATTAGAGAAACACAAAATTAACTCCTAGAAGAGTATATTATGTGTGCAGCCACCACTGATCTAACATTCAGAATGAAATTTTCCTGAATTTTCAATCTATATCACACCAGAAAATATTATTTTAAAGACCCAAGCACAGAGACCTACAACTGGATTAAAACTATCATCAGGTAGGCTGAGCTGTGCATCATGGATTTTAGCCAATGTGTTGTGCTGTTAAGATCATGTACCACCTTGCTGGCCATTCTCAAACTGGGTCAAGAAGCAATGTAAACAATTCCTTAAACATACCTAAAATGCACATTAATATTCAGGACCGCATGTCACAGCCAAACCCCAAAGGAATGCTTAATAACACAATCAAAGTATCGTGAGGGTTAGTATTTAAGGTCCAATAAGACCTGAGCAAATCAGGAATGCCCCTCCTGTCTGCTAAGCTGTCTAAAATTATGGAGTCAACCCAGAAATGGTGCTTTATGGTCAAGTCAAATGAAGGTTAAGAACAGCATGTGTTAGTGTGACAGTGAAGACTCATAGCCTTCAGCCTCAAGGGGTGATTCTCACCCTCAGAATCGGGCAGTATACAGAACTACTTTGAATCGGTTCCAGTCTACATTGTGGGGTCCTAGGAACTTTAAGGACCTCTGGCTTTTCAACCCCCAAATTTGTCTGGCTATATTTATATTACCCAAGTCAGGCACTAGGCTGCACAATTAGTGCCTTATACTGTACTACCAAACCGTTTATCTTTCGGAACGAGAACTTGACATATCTTCAGTAAAGTGGATGAAAAATAAATGACACATTCACACACTGACAAAAATTATTTTATTGAAAACACAGCTGCTCCAGGATCTGAAACTTTGTCAGAGTAATGATTTCAATTAGAACCCAAGAGACACAGATGTGAACCTTTTCACAAACGCACGCACGCACACACACACACACACGTTACTATACCATGTAAACACCACACCACCCGGTGTCTCCATGACCACGTGAGGTCCTTCATATCAACACCCATGGACGAGTTACTACACAACGTGCCCTACGTGACCTCACACAGATGGCAAGAGATCAGCCCAGGCCATCAACTGTAGGTTATAATTTGTGTTCAATTCATGTTCCTTCTCCGTTTAGTAATGAAAGCTTTTGTTAAACAACCCACCTACCCCATGTCTTTGTATGAATAAGTCATTTTTGTCTAATGTATATTTTTAGCCTTGGGGCTGCTGAACTTTTTCAATAAACCGTTAATCATTATTATTATTATGTACACACAGATACTCCCTTCATTTGCTGTCATCTATTCATTCTTAATTGTTGCAAAAAATGTGTTCTACAGTACAATGGTTTCCCCATCCACAATATGGTCTGAGATATCTATTTGTCTTACATCTGTTGCTTCACCTAACCTCAGCATCATCCCTCAGCCGTACATCCTTCTCCAACAATCACCAGACGTGGACAACATGATCCCAGTCAATTATACACACCACTACTTCCTTGATGTCCACTCCCTCACTCTTAATACATCCTTCACCCAATCTTTCATCTATCCCTGAATTATATACATATTAAAGAAAAAAAAATTGCTTTCTATCCTCTTCATATGTGCACACCACCTGAGCAAACCCTGATAAATGATGTCATTTCTGTTGCTAGTGATTTGGCCTACCTCATACCTCCACAACCTTGTGCTTAAAGCCCATATAATAATATCTGCACAACAATTCCCCTGTACATCCCATAGTTCCTCTGATGCAGTTTTCTTTCTCCAATAAATGACTTTAAAACTTCTTTTCACTTGGTTCAGCAGCAACAGAGTAACCAACAAAATAAGTACAGTTCAAAACACTATTTTGCTTATAAATAATCAAAGAACAAGACAAGATTATTATCCAAAATTACTATACAAGTAAAGTACATTACAGTAAAATACATTTATGAACAAAACCTAGAATATAATAAACTCAAATTCATAAGACATTACCCTGAGTAACAAATCCTAATATAAACTTACAAATCAACCAACTAGGGAATCCTATTGTTATAACTCTCTTGAACTTTTCTTGTTAGATTTTTCTTCTTTTTGTTGTTGGCGGATTAAGTCAGCATAAATTCCCCCAAGTTTCTTAAGCCCTTCGTGAGTGCCAATCTGCGATCAACAACACAGTACTGTAGATTCATTCATGAAAGCAGATAATATCAAAACATTATTTACAAGATACAGTACTTGTAACAGTACTGAGAGATTCAGAAGAGGATGAAAATAATAATGTAATAAATATATGGAGGACAGTGCTCTAACTTGTGACACAACTGGCATGGAATAAAAGAATAGAAAGCTCCAGTGGCACCATACAGCCAACACAAATACCTCGCATAAGGGCCGAGCCCACATTAACTGACTCATAATAGGAAGAGGTCTGCACATTTGAAGTGAAGGGATGTCTTTCCCTATGCTGCATCAGGGGCAAGTTGTGATTAAATATATTTTCATTTCATTGATGTGTCAAAATAGCTTTCTTTAGATGGAAGGAAATCTGTAATGATCACATTTATGCATGCAGAGCAAAGAACTTTGGGGAGGTCGGAGAATAATCTTTTACTGTGACCCAGGGCAGTAATACTTGGTAGCCATGATGAACCATCCTACTACAGGTACTGGATTTGCATGTTCTTGACTGAGAGCAAGATTTTAAGAGTGATACTATACTCATATACAGTATACTTGTCATGAGAGTTAAAACTTATAAACTAAGGATGTGCTGCATGTTTGCAGTACAGCAAAAATATCTCATAGACTGTATTAAATTTGTATTCAGCTTTAAATATTCTTTCACATCAGTAAACTTTATTATATTACTAATTACCTTGGCAGGAAAGAAAATGCATAAACTGACCTCTGCCAGTCTTCCATGAGACATGACTGCAATAACATCAGCATTCTGGATGGTAGACAGTCGATGAGCAATAACAAGTACAGTGCGTCCTTCAATACAGCTTTCTAGAGCTGTTTGGACCACAGCCTCGGATTCTGCATCAAGAGCACTGTAAAGGAATAAATCACTAACTTTCAAAAAAGAAACCCAACAATAAAGCAATTCCATCTGCTCAACTTCCTGCCAACAATTATTATCTGCCCCAAAACTGCATCAGAATATGTATTGTACCTATTAAAAAATAAAAAATAATATAAGGTTGCCAAATGTCCCAGTTGGCTACAGAAAGGTTCAAGAAGCCATAAATAAGGACAATAATGATGGAAAATGGTAATTAGTGTATTTATTTGAGATCTTGTTGGGATATATCTGTACAGGTATCCCTCAAGATATGAATGGGTTAGGCCCCCCACCCCCGCACAAAAAAACAAACATTTGTGAGGTGAATTTTTGCATATTGAATAAAAAACACACAGAAACAAATGGGGTTCAATTCCCAATGACAAAAATACCCCAATAACACGAAATCAGTTTAACAAACATGAAAAAACCTACCTAACTGTAATTTGCTACATAACACATTAAAAACATATTGAAATACAATCTAGATGAAAATATGCAGCTAAAACTATTAAGGAAAAGCTAAATAAAAGTTTAACACAGCCGCCAGCAGTGCCATTTGCGTAAACACTGGCTGCTCATGCGTGGCCGCCCTCAAGTGTCACCATAGCAACCAGGCTAAGCAGTTGGACGTGTCATGTTGCCCAGAGGATGATTTGCGAGTGTAGGAAGCTATTCTTTGTACACAAAATAATATATATATATTCTGTACCAGTAAATGTGGGGAATAAATATTAATAATAATAATAATAATAATGATAATAATAATAATAATAATAATAATAATAATAATACAGTATAGTCTCTGTATCTGTATCTGTGTTTTTCTGGCTAAATAAACTGTTTCAATTGAATTCTGTTTCAATTCAATCTCTATCACCTCATGTGGGACTGACAGGAGATAAAATTCAAATGTGAAGATCATGCCGAGTGATTCCAACTTTCCATACCGAGAGATCAGTTTTAATAGGGCAGATAATCTATTGTGTTTAGAGTTAAGGTATAATGAATTAATTCTTTACAAAATATTGAAAGACCTTGAAAATTTAACTTTAAGAGTGAAAAACTTTGTGCTAACCTAGTTGCTTCATCTAAGACCAGTATCCTTGGATTCTTAAGAAGGGCGCGGGCAATAGCAATGCGCTGTTTCTGCCCTCCAGAGACTGTCACACCACGTTCTCCGACCACTGTGTCGTAGCCACTTGGAAAAGACGTAATGAATTCGTGGGCATTTGCAGTTTTTGCAGCATTTATTACCTGTAAGTAAAAATCAATCTTTCACAATTATTACAGTACAGGTATTTACTATCAGCATGAAAAAAAAAAATAACTAACACCAAAATTACAGACTAACAATCCACTATAAGATAAAACATCAGTAATTGCCAGTCAGAAAAATTAATATTTCATTAAAATATCAATGATCGGAAATTAGTCCAATAATATGTAAATAATTAGGTTGTTAATATAAACAAGTAAGAGACAAAATTTAAAGAAGACACTTTGGTTACCTCTGCATCAGTAGCATCTGGATATCCATAGCGAATATTTTCCTTAATGGATGTGGCAAACAACACTGGCTCTTGGTTGATGAATCCAACAACACGGCCACGTAGCCAGGAGGGATCCAGAGAGCGAAGATCAAGTCCATCAATTGTTATGGAGCCATTCTTCACATCATAAAATCTGATCAAAGTTATGCATGTAATCAATTCCATATACAGCATGCATTAATCTCTACACAACAACACTCCACTTATATAGAGAAGGATATTTCTTAACTCCTACCTGGTGGCTAAGGATTCTCTACTCTGTCCCCATGTACATAAAAATGGAACACAAGGAACATGAAACATTCACTACAGCTACCTTCCAGTGGTGTTGGCAACTTTAAGTGCTAGGGAGTCTTTTTTTATTTACACCCGCACACACACCACAGCTTTTGTTGTCCTTGTGGCGCGGTGGTAGCGATCGCTGTTCACAAGCGGGTTCGATTCCCAACTAGTGAGGTATTGTTTGTATATGAAAGTCCGCATGCAATATGGACTGATGAGATATATATGTAGCCTCGTGTTTCCTGGCTGGATTTGGTAAAATGCTACTCTGACCACATAGTTAGCACGGGCAATCCCCAATGGAGGTTCACGGCGCTTAACAAGGTGGTGAGGAGGTGATGCATCTATCAGTTTGTTTGGTAACACTGCACCTACAGTGTCATAGTCACAATAGCATAGCTAGTCTATTTAACACCTAATAATTCATATTATGCTCCACGCCCACAAAACCTTTAAACCTTTGAGTCCACCAGTTGAAGCATTCGTTTTCTAACCGCTTCAGGAGATCCGAGTCCTCCATTTTCCATTACGTATTAACGCAGAGACTCGGGTATTGCTAAATACCTCATAGGGTGTTCATGAAATTTGAATTTAAGAGAGAACACCTCTGTTTTGTGTCAAATTAGATATGACCGATTACAGATGAAGAGTTCAAGATCCTTTGTGACTGATGTTGAAAGCTTCAATTGTATTTACTGTTAGTGAAATTGTCAATAGAAGTCACGGTAGAATCTACTGGAAGAATGAGGTATCATTGAAGTCGTTCTTGGAGATGCTTGGAATTGCTAACTGATGCTGAAGTTACCTCTTCTTCACATATGAACATCAGAGAATCTGATGTTCATGGTGAACTTGTTGTAAGGATGTTAATTACAAAAGTAATTCATTATCCTGAAGGGAACTGTCACGTCATGTATCTCTGAGAATCTAATGGGTGTAACCTAATACTCCTTGTCTTACGCTCTGCCCACCAGGGACTGCCATCCTGAATCTTGAAATCAATTTGATTCTTGCCTTCAACAGCTCAGTTACACTTTAATTTAAAAAGTTGAGCTTAGGAAATTAAAATAAGTTCGTAGTCTCATTTTCACACGTCAAAGTGTATAGTAACGTAGTTGTTGATATTATTTGTGTTAGAGGATCTCGGGAATGAGCATGGGAGGAGAGAGGCAAGACACTGGCCTCAGTCTAGCGTCTGAAGCGTCCACAGGTAAAATCCTGTGTTCCGTGTTATACCTCGCCACATTAAGTGATTTTGACTTGGTTAGCTGTTTGAATATGCAAGTGATCCAGTAACGTAACTTCGATGTGTTTTGATTAAAGTGTTCTTACACAATCAGCATTTTAAAATGTTGAAATTCATGTCAACAACCTTAGTCTAGCTTCTGAAGTCACTCCATCCACAGGTTCCTCTAGGCCAAAGGTCTTGTAGATTGGGACGAGTGATCAAAATTTTGGTTTACAACTAGAAGCTGTCACTCTGTTCAATCATTCAGTTCTCTGTCAGCATGTTTCTCTATTAAAAAGACCCTACAACAATAGGTAAATTGTTTCTCTGATTTTTTATCTACATTTTGAAATACTAATCATGTTATACTTTACCTCTCCATCAACTGAGCAACGGTAGACTTGCCGCCTCCTGACGCTCCAACCAGAGCCACGACCCGACCAGCTGGGATGCGTAAATTGAAGTTGCGTAACACTTCCTTCAAGATCACAAGATTTAAAGGAAAAAGATGGTGAATCTTATAAATTTATCCCTTACACACACAAACATATGCTCACGCACGCACACACAAAATAAAAAAGTTAGACATACCTGATCAGGTCTTGAAGGATAAGCAAATGATACATTTCTGAACTCAATGTTCCCCATTAGAGAATGGTATGGGATTACCTTTCCACCTCTTACAGGTATTGTTGGATCCAGACTGACATACTGAAACAAATAATTTATATTACATTACGAGCCCAGATTAATGACAAACTGTCCAACCCTTCAATGTTCTTAAACAAAACACTTACTCCTTGTTTACACAGGTGGAAGCCTGACACAGTCACATACGTTCTGACTGAACATAAGGACAACGTTATTGTAGGGCACACAATAACAACTACCTGAGTGAAGTGATGGGCAGGTGTTGTTGTTGTTCTTATATAATAAAGCGCTTCCACAGCTATGGTCTGTAAATCCACTGACCAAGTTTTTACAGAAGACAACAATTATAATTATATAAAAACTAAAGTATACAATATTAAGGAGGTGTAGAGATGGTATAGTCTAATATATTAATAAACTGTAGTAGTGGTAGTGTGGATAAGCAAAATGTGATCAAGTAAGAGGGTACAGTAAGTCCTCGCTTAACCCTTAGGCCCTGGGAGACATTCCAGAACGTCCGACCAGAGCACCCCGGGTGACATTCCAGAGCATCCACCTATTACCGCCATTTTTTTTTATATAATTATTTTTGGAAAAGTTGATTTTTCTCGATTTATCCCCTGCAGGGAGGGGGGGGGGGTACCCAGCAGCACCCACTATGGCTTTTAAGTCGTCAAACAAGGATTTTGCTTTATGCTGGGTAACCATAAGGCTCACATGAGTTACTGTACTAATATTCTAAAATCCATTATAATTAAAACAAAGATTAAAAATCAATAATCAGACTTAAGGTAAACTGTGTCTCACCTCAAAGACCCGTGCACCAGCACTGATGCCGCGGACATAAGTTCCGAAGAGAATGCCGAGCTGAGCTAGGGACCGCTGAATGGTTTGACAAGCCACCAGGAAAGACATTAGATCACCTGGTTTAATTTGATTGTTGGACATTAGTCTGCCTCCAACATACAGGGTTCCCATCACTATTCCATTCAGGAAAAGATTTGATCCAGCCTGAAATGATATTGTATACGTACATTATAAACTGGTGAGTTTTTATCACATTCATGTAATGGTTTTCCTTTTTTATCTCACTTTAATACATTAATTGCTATAGCCTGTAATCCATTAACTAAACTATTAATGCAGAATGATATGAGACAACAAACCTGGAAGATCCCTATACCAAGGCCCAAGAGTTCATTAAGCTGCCTTGACTTATTTACTTCTCTGGCAAATAGGTCTTTCTCTGCATCCTCCATAGCAAATGCTCGAACAGTTCGCATGTTACCAAGACATTCGTCAGCAACACCTGTCGCTCGGGCAACCTGTCAAATGAAGATTCTGAGGTAAAGGTATCTATTACATCAGATAGATATAAATAAAAAAATAATGGCATCTATATATGTTATCATAAGAATATCACCTTTCACTTTAATCATACCTTCCTCACTTCTATACCTATTCCTTTCACTTTAAAACTATGACAGACAAACTGCTAATGGAAACTCTAATTTCCACCCCTTCAGCTTTCTTAATAAAATATTCTTACTTGACCCTTTTCCTACAGTGTCTGTCACCACTTCACTTACCATTCCATTAAACAGACACAACTTATGTATTTATTTACTAAAATGAACAGTTTATTTATGTGTGAAAAAACTTAGTACATAAAGTAATAAGGTTCTAACTCATATTATTTGTGACCCGCCCCCAAACTCACTCTTACGAATTTAGCTTCACCCTTTCAGATAAGAACATTCATCCCTACAACTTAGTTCCTTCGGTGGTAGAACAGTACTGTGTGAGTTTTTCAAAATATTACAATAAAAAATATACAGTATATAAATATTGAATCATCAAATGCATATATCACAAACATAATTCTTAAATGAATCCATTACCAATCACTCAGTGGTGAACACATGAACTGCACTGTAGAGTGAACCTGACAGGATCACATAGACTTCCCACTCAGAGAGAAGTTAACAATTTCTACTCACTGACCTAATAAGCACTGTAGGCTCAAAGTGCATTATCAGGTGTATAAATGGCATACATTATGGTGGTAATAAAAAAATAATTTGTTGATTCACATTGTTACAAATGACAAAAGGACTTCAGAGATCACTGGTACATGCTGTCACTACAAGACTGATTGAATAATATAAGTTGTTTTAGTAATAAATATCCACTGCTTCTCAAACAAATGACAAAAACTATACAGGCAGTCCATGATTTACAAATATCTGTTTTACAAAAAGCCTAAATCATAAAAAAGTCCCATGCCTGTAGCTCTGCTGTAGCTACCGGGGTATGTCAGAGGCCAAGACAATACCCTGTACCTGTACTACATATTTTTGCCCTTAACCTTTAATTATGAACATTACCCTTACCTGGTGCTGTGCTTCCCGAGAGACGTCACGCAGAAGGCTTCCTAATGCAGTACCAGTCCCAATAATGACTGGTACTAAGAGTGCAGTCAACCCTGCCATTTGTGGGGAGATCATGTAGATGGAAACTCCACAACCCACAATCTGAGGATAAACCATTAATTGCATTATTTAATCATATACTGTACGTACCTGAAAGCTGACCAGCATATAACTACCAGCAAGGTAATTCACAAAACATTGCTAGGATTTGCTTCTAGCTGTACTATAATTATTATCTTCTAACCAAAGAAAAGGAACCTGGATACATGTTACATAATAAATAAAATAAAATGGCAGGCCCGCTTACAGACAGCTGAAAGGTGGCAGTAACAGTACAAACACAAAGGTGTCACAAATATCTGCTGCCATCAAGTAAGGAGTACATAAGGCTGTCCATGGTTTGTGAATGGTAAAGTAAGGAGTACATAAGACTGTCCATGGTTTGTGAATGGTAAAGAGTAAATACTGTGGATACCTGGAATCCATGAATGGGAAATCTGCAGTTAGTGAGGGTCTATTGTACCCAAGCTTGTATGTTTAATCACTGTGATGGATAAAATCGTCTGGTATTAGCCAAATAAAATATTAAAAGTGCCCTCCCAGTAGTGAACGGGTTAATGGACAAATGATATAATTATTTCGTGTCCTGTTTCAAATATTAAGGTGCACTAACATCATGGGCAAACACTATACCATATCATATATAAAATGTATTTTTTGTTATTGTTCTTTTTTACTCAACATTATTTGTACGTGGTACACTCTGCACAAAAGAATATATTCCAAGCTCCAGTGGATGGAAAAGAATAACACATGTATGGAAAACTAGAAAGAGAATGGAAAAATAACTGTCACCTATAAGAAACTATAGCAGGTGAGAAAATACTGTATGTAATTATAGCAGATCACCAAGTGGGGCTCTAATACGTGTGGCCAAAGACAAGAATCATCAAGGAAGATAGAGGACCACCTCTACCTCTCCTCTGGTGACATTTCCATGAGTGACTAAGCCCAACTAGTTCATCACTTTATGATTCTAAAAACATTTTTTAACAATGAATACTGTATAAGATGCAGGAAGGTTATCATCTCTGCCCAAGCCTTACCAATGTGGATAAGGATGAAAAATATACAAGATAATACACTTAATCTAAAACTCACCTGAGTGACACTACGAAGGCCTTGAGATATACACATTTTGAAGGAACTTTTGAAGTCTTGTACATCAGCAGTTAACCTGGAGAAGTAAATTTATTCAATGCACATAAAGTGATGATACTTTACATGATACAACAACAGTTAACTGAAAGTTATTAAAGTGTCAAAAATCATTAGACTCATTTGAATTAAAGAAGCTTTGTATAGTGTTTATGGAAGAACTATTGTGTGAGGGGTTATAGTAAGCTCTATTTCTGTGTGGCTGCTGGTTTTGTTTGACCAACAGTCATGCTGGAGTCTCATATTGTGTTCAATCAAGTACCATATATTCACAATCCTGTTAAAAAAATCATACTTTTTACATAGACTGGAAAGATCTCTTCCTGTGCTGCTTTGTACTGCACATTCACAATTTCTACTGAGGTAGCTAGAAAATATACACTCTATTGTTTGATTACAGCATTTATATTACATCCCTGGTCACCAACAAGTATAAAATAAAAGGAAATAGACTGCTCTTGAACTTAACTAACTTTTCTAGTTCATCAGATTTCCACTGTAGTATATACAAACCAAGGTACCCGATACAAAGTTATAAAACAGACCTGTTCACAAGTTCTCCTGTCTTGTGGTGATCATAAAAAGCAATATCTTGTTCAAGGAGAGAGGTAAAGAGCTGCTGCCTGAGATTGTCTGCCATACGCTCACCCATCCTTGTTAAAAAAGTTATGTATGAGAAGGTGAAGATGGCCTGAAAAAAAAAAAAAAACTACTAAATCAGACAAAGACAGACAAAATCAGATCTATATTCTCATGATAAAATTTTTTGTTATAGTTACTTAATGTTCCGATAGGTTTATGCAATAGATGGCATATTTATTCAGTAAAATCATCATACAAGTTTACATTGACTCAGCAAGTATATAGACAATGTAGGTACAGTGTACAGTTCAGCATGTATATAGACAATGCAGGTATACAGTTCAGCATAAATAAAGACAATGTAAGTATACAGTTCAACATGTATAAAGACAATGTAGGTACACAGTTCAAGTATACAGCTCAGCATGTATGAAGATTGACAATGAAGGTATAGCTGTACAGCTCAGCACGGGCTGGTAACACACGTCTTGCCTGCTGTTCCCACCGTTTCTGTGTGGATGTCGGTCACACTAGAATAACCCATAATAGTACATCCTTCTCTCCTCACATAGCCAAACTGTGGAATGCTCTGCCTTCTTGTGTGTTTCCATACTCGTACAATCTGTTTCACTCCAAAAAGCTGGTTTTCCGGCATCTTCGTGGTGTAGATTAATAACTTTTCTCGTCTATTTTTAATTTCCTTTTACTCTTATTTTTTTGCGCCCCCCCCTCCCCCCCAGGCCCCGTTGTGGGTCGATGACCTGTGCCCAGGTGGGCTATTCCCCGTAAAAAAAGGAAAAATAACCCAGTGACGAACACAGAGTTTACGTGCACATTCTGTCATTTCTCCAGTTCCTTGTTCAGTGCTACGGAGACAACAACCCATACTTCATGACCTGCATCTGCTGCCTGGGAGCGTCTGCTTAGTCATGCTGGGCTTATATTAAAGCCTAAAAGATCCTGATTGGACAGCCATAATTTTTTGAATCAGTTATTGATTAATCTCAATAGAAAGATTTGCAAATAAAAATGTGTAATGCTCTGTGTCTTTTGTTTTTATCTTTACTTAACAAGTTCTTTATAATTTACTGCATGATTTATTTTAATATTTGAGACGAATAATAATTTTGTTGTTACTTTTTACTTTCAGTTCTAGAGTACTTTATGAATGAGATACTTTTTTTACCTCTAATTGAGTACAGTGAACTTTGGATACTTTTACTTGAGTAACAATTAGCCTTTTTTTTTTTAATGGGGATTAGCCCACCTGGACAAAGGTCAATGATCCACATCATGGCCTGAGACTTGGTCACAATTTTTGTGATGCCATATGTTACATTATAAGTCTAGTTAGAACAAAATAAACTCATAAAACAACTCAACCAACCTGAGCAACATAATACTGAAGCAGTTTAACAGAAGGAGCAGAAATTTCTTGCATATAGTTTCTTCCTTCATTTGTTGCTTCACTTGTAAAATTTGCTACCACGTTGACAACATCTCCCAGAAGAATTGGCACCTGAACATTGGCCAAGGCAACAATTAGGGCACTCTGAAATTTAAAGCTTATTTAAAACATTATCCTTCTATTAATTCTTCAACACTCAAACTCCAAAATTATCCATCACAGTAACTTGTACCTCTCAAGTAATGTATTTAATATTATCTAAACGATCTCACTGCTTTGTGCTACTGTTTTACCACAGATCTATAGATATGTGTGCGTGTAACACTTGGAAAAACACATTATGCTTTGATATACAAAAATAATGAAAATAATTATTTGACTCCCATATCCATATTTGTGGGTCACAAAACAAATGAAATAGTTTTTCATACTGGATGAGGAGGTGAATCTCCACAGGATGAAGAACACTGACTATCCTGCACTCCTGTACCAGAGTCACCTTTCTTGGGTCACAGTCAGACTGCATCACCATTTAATGATCATCCATAAATTCTCAAATGCTACTTTATTTTCCAAAGACATCTGCTTTACCTTTGCTCCATTGTGTATTATGCCTCCTTTCAATGACTGGCTTTCTAAATTTCTCCTTTTGTACAGTTTTCCTCTTGTATTTTCACATAATCTTAATTTTTTGAACACTCACATGACAGTATTTGGTATTAACAAATGATGTGACACAAGTTGACAGATATAAGCTACATTACATGACCTTACCCCCATTGCAGCCAAGAAGTAATGCAGCTGAGGCTTCAGTAACTGCCAGAAGGCAAGCCAATCAAATGGAGGATCTTTAGAGTCCTCACTTTCCTCTGATCCTTGTAGTCTGTCATGTATCTCTTGTCCTCGCTGGCTTGCCTTGCATTCCACCCTTAATGGAGAGGTTAAAACCTGTAACATACAACAAACAGTTTATAACAATAACCTACAGTGACATCACACTAACTAATACTTGTAAATAACAAAATGTACAAATGAAGTTAAATATGACAATAGAATCAACACACAAACATTTTCCTTTGTAAAGATTTTTCAAGATATTTTGAAAATCTTAATAAAATCCAGGAGCCTTGTGTGACAGAAGAGCGAGTCATACCTTTACACCCAGAAGAGTACCTCCACTCAGCGCTAATTTGATGATGAAGGTGACAGAGCAGCCATCACGAGCATGGGCAGCTTGGCTTCTCATCGCATGGACTGGACGGACCAATGTCTCAAAAGTGAGAAGATATACAATCACTGTACAAAATATTAAGTTAAAAATTTTTAATAGAAGCTAAAAGCCATTTATGGAAACATTACATGAAAGTACTACCAAATTATTTGAAGATTGCATTAATTCTAAGAATTCAAAAATTATATTTTTACACTTGGAATTATCTTTCTAAGAAAAAAATAATTAATATATTTATCTAATAGTCATTACCTTATGTAAAAGAGGAGTGAGATTTCCTGTTTTCCCACGGATCAAAGACATCTGGAGTTGTCTTGGTGAACTGAGGCTAAAAAAATTTATACTGTACAAAGTATTTATTAAAATAAAGGCTTTCTCTGATTTACAAAGGGGTTCCAATCCTGAAAACCTTTTGTAAATTGGATTAATTTTTCATACTCTCATACTGAAAACTTTCCCAAAACATTAAATGATATAAAACAAGTTTTTGAAAATTTTTGGTGTACATAATTATTATAAGCCAATAATAAAAACAAGTAAAATACAATATAATTATGCAGCATAGTACAGTACATACTGTAATAATTTTTGACCAGTAATTAATGGAAACTCAAGTTTCTCGAATGAGATTTGAAACAAAGTGAACAGTATGGCAAAACTTAAGAAATACATTAGCCATTAAGGTGTAGGTTGAAGATCTCTGGCTAACTTACCCCTGTCTTGTCACCATGTGTGTGAGCCTGGATGCACTCCTCCACATGATCATCCTGTTGGACACCTTCACTCTCCCTGCAGCTTACTCTCTTAGTCACCTGTTGAACAGGTGATAAGTCAGAACACTGTACCATTCTGTACACCTAAAATATATTAACCTTACAAAAAAAATTATCTTTTATAATTTCCAAATATTCTACCTTAATTGGTATTTTAGCAAACTGCTAGGTCAGGATGGGTCGGTTAGGTTAGGTTAGGTTGGTTAGGTCAGATTCTATTAGGTTCTGAGCATTTTCATTTCCAGTTTCTTGTTTACTATCATGCAAAGAACATTACAGAAATTTTGGTGCAATTCCATAAGTTGTTTTTGATGCTAACCGTCACCTACACTATTAAAAAGAGAAGAAAAAAGAGACTTATTCACTTGAAAACCAAAGACAACCCTCCATCAGTCTTTACATGTATACAAATACTTTATACAGCAGTTAAGAGAAGACGAGAACAATCAGTGCCACAGAAGACGAGAACAATCGGTGCCACAGAAGACGAGAACAATCGGTGCCACAGAAGACGAGAACAATCGGTGCCACAGAAGACGAGAACAATCGGTGCCACAGAAGACGAGAACAATCGGTGCCACAGAAGACGAGAACAATCGGTGCCACAGAAGACGAGAACAATCGGTGCCACAGAAGACGAGAACAATCGGTGCCACAGAAGACGAGAACAATCGGTGCCACAGAAGACGAGAACAATCGGTGCCACAGAAGACGAGAACAATCAGTGCCACAGAAGAATTACCGACAGAATATTTTCGTTAAAAATTTATTTCTTTGTCTACAGACACGAACATGCTGCTATGTGATCAGTGTCCCATCAGGAGTTCTCTCACCCTTCACACCTGCCCTCTACAGGTGAGTCATGTTCACACCTGCCCTCTACAGGTGAGTCATGTTCACACCTGCCCTCTACAGGTGAGTCATGGTAGAGGAAACAAGTAAATGGAAAAGTTGTTGAATCATTTATATTATTGACCATCTCCTCCAAACAATACCACTGGAAGAAATGAGGAAACTCTATAACCTCCTGTCACATTAACTTAAATAAAAACCTATTGCTGAAAACAGAGCTAAAATTAAAGACTTACACAACCCCGGTAGTGTGGTCCTCAGGCTTACACAACCCCGGTAGTGTGGTCCTCAGGCTTACACAACCCCGGTAGTGTGGTCCTCAGGCTTACACAACCCCGGTAGTGTGGTCCTCAGGCTTACACAACCCCGGTAGTGTGGTCCTCAGGCTTACACAACCCCGTTACTGTAGTAAGGTTACAGCCACAGTCCTCAGGCTCAGCTGGTGTGTGTAAACAACTACCGCCGCGTGCAACACCAAACAGGGATTCAGAATAATCTTACTTGGGCATATATATATATATATATATATATATATATATATATATATATATATATATATATACATATATATATATACATATATATATCACACAAAGCCTGTTGAACGAGCTTAAGGCGCCGTGAACCTCTAATGGGGACTACCCGGATCACTTAGGTGATCAGAATAACGTTTTACCAAATCCGGCTTCGAAACACGAGGAGCCATATATATTTCATTAGCCCAATAAAGCACGTGGACTTTACATATATATATATATATATATATATATATATATATATATATATATATATATATATATATATATATATATATATATATATATATATATATATATATATATATATATATATATGTATATAATATATACTGTGGTTGTAGTTGAGTTGCCAATTCATGAATATAATTTTCTTCATTATTTAAGCAAATATACGAACATTTGGAAACTCCTCATGACCTTAAATAACAATGAATAGTTTATTATTATAAAAATTCTACCTTTGGTTTGTTTAATAATCATCCTGACAGTGATAGAGCCGAAAACAGATCCACCAATCACAAGCCCTTCACATACTGTACAGCCTTCCTTTATCAGGTATTGCCAGGTAAAATAGCGAACACGAGTATCTTTGTATTTTCTATTATAAAGACAAAAGACCGTATGTTGCAACTAAGAAAAAGTGTGTGTGGTTGTTCCTCATGAGCGGTTCAAATTTAGCCTTTGTGAGTAATTTGGGGGAACTCTTAATGATCACCGACTCTTGTTGACCACCAGCACCGCCTTCCGCATCCTCTGATTGGTTGGGACTAAGCCAATGAGGCGTGTTTTTTCTAGTAACCTGAGACTGTTATTGGCTGGTACCATCAGACCAATCACGACTCGTCTTTGGAGAATGTCTTACGGGTGTTTGTCATATTTATAAAACTCTATTAACTCACATATTAACTCTTCCAGATAACGATGATGGGGAATTAATCGCCGCAAGATCACGTGACATTGTTTACAGTTTGGTTAATTGGCGCTTGTGCTGCATTAATTCCAAAATTTGGTGTTTTATATTGACCTGGACTAACTAGAGCAGGTGTGTGTCAGGTGTGTGTCAGGTGTGTGTGTGTGTCTCTCTGGGCTCCCTCAAGTTACTACCTATCTTATCCACCACTCTCGATCCCCATTCCACCCCTCCCATTTGAACCCTCGTTACCATCCCTTCACCCCAACACTCGTCCCTCTCTATACAACATTCCCTCTTCAGTCCTCATCCTCCCTCTCTTCACACCACTCATCTCTTCAGCCCTTGTCACTATATCTCTGTTTATCTTCACACACACACATACACACACACACGCACACACACACACACACACACACACACACACTAACCTTACCCCACCTACCACCACACCGTCTCAGGTATCAGCTAATGAGAAGTTTACGTGTTACTCAGGTGTGTTCGAGCCCAGCAGGGGGAGGGGGGTAACTTAATGACCAAGGAGGGAGGGAGGAGCACTTACCTATACACCTGACGAAGCAAACCAGGAGGTAAGTGTCGTGCTGTAGGTGATGATGGGTTGGTTTTGCTTGATTCCTGGGCTAGTTCTGTGGTGTGAGAGAGAGAGAGAGAGAGAGAGAGAGAGAGAGAGAGAGAGAGAGCATCAGCGGCAGTTAACAGTCATTCAATAATAAGGTCCCCTAACAGTACAACTACACGCCATAAGCACATCAATATCACCTCCCAGTCAACAACCACACAACTACGAAAAAAAAAAAACCACCACACAAAATCTAAGACTTCACAGATTTTTACACAGAATGTTAAAACTGGACTCTGAAAGCACACAGTGAAAGGCCACGAGTCTACACGTAGAGGGTAATTGTATACGAATCTGTGACCTTTTCAATGCAGTAATGAAAACCTTGACCAGTTGTACGTGTTGATCGGTCGATGAGGAAATAGCTGTGTTAGTGACAGGATGTAGTTGGAGTGTTAGGTACAGTATTACAGGTTCATGACGCCATCTGCACACACAAACTAAAAATCAACAAGTATAGTTTGATACAGTAATCAGTAACCACAACGTAAAGGTATAATTCTATTTCATATTTTTGCTCTGTTAAAGGGATAGAAATTTATATCATAAGTTGTACATAAAGGGAAAACCAATTATTGTGTGTGGTGGAGGGGCGCTGGTGAGCAGGACATTAGTACACAAGGAGGCACTGCACTAGACCCACCGTCACTTCCTCAGCTGAAAAATTAGGTACCGATTCACAGTTGGGTGGACTTGGGGTGGTCGAAGCGCAAACTAACAACCCTTAGCATGAGGCGAGCTTTATAATCACCCTTACAGAATTTAAGAAGCAGAATTTACTAACTTGTATATGAAGGACTTCCAGGATAGTGTAAAAGTTATTCTGGTACCTGACATTATTACCTGGCTTGATTGACGTGTTTAGGATATTAATGATTTTAGAAAATATATACTTGGGAAAGAAATAATGGCAGAAACTGAGCTTTGGAGCTGAGAGAGGCGACCCAGATGTGAATTACAGAGGCAAGCAGATCTTATGTAGTGAAAACCACACCAATGATCTGAGAGAAAGGAGCAGGAATTACGATATTTAAGAAAATATGAATTGAGGAGACTTTCAAAGACTTTATACATAGTTGTTTTTGAGGGACAATATGGAGGGCAATGGAAAGATGAGAACAGACTCTTATTATAGGTATCCACCGAACCAAAACAAGCTGTCTGTCTGTCTGTCTCTTTTTCTCTCTCTTAAAGTATATAAGGACGGGCGGTATAAAGTTTCTCATAAAAACCAACTGTCAGAGATGAAGGAGTCGACCACCACAAGCACAGTATGACCACCACCACCACACAGTAAACATCAACATAACCGAGAAAAACCTGAGACAGAGACCGCAGCCGCCAACCACACACACACACACACCCACACACACACACACACACACACACACACACACACACACACACACACACACACACACACACACACACCACCCACACACACACACACACTTAATAAACTAACACCGAATAGAAATAAAAATAGACACTGTAAAGAATATCAGTCAAAATGTCCACACAGTTACCAGTATATAAAGTAGACAAACAGTACTACTTCATACACCACAAGACGCTTAGGAGGAGTAACAGATTCACTTTACACACACCCGCTGAGTTACGAGGAGGTGAGGGATCTGCAGGGCCTTGAATTTAACATGAGCCCCACAGCTGACCAGAAGGTGTGAACGTTTGTCTGATGTATAACTTTCATAAGGAGGTTTTGAATCGTTCTGGTGTTGTCACTCTAATGGCGTCTGTGTTTACCTTTGACTTTAGCGATGTTCTGCTCTTTGTTTTGTTATCTGTTAGAGGAATTGCAGCAAGTTTCAGCCACAGATAATATACAACAACTCCGTCTCTGTCTGTCTGTCTGTCTGCCTGCCTGTCTGTCTGTCTCTCTCTCACCACAAGTAAGACAACACCAACAAGCCTCTGCGGTATCCACTGATGAAGTCGTCTCAAGAGGGAAGTATTTACTGGTGATAAATCTTCATCTCTTCCTGACAGGCTGATCACATCGTCTGATCTGTCTTCCTCACAGGCTGATCACATCGTCTGATCAGTCTTCCTCACAGGCTGATCATGTCCTCTGATCAGTCTTCCTCACAGGCTGATCACGTCCTCTGATCAGTCTTCCTTGCAGGTTGATCCCGTCCTCTGATAAGAATTCCTCACAGGCTGATCAAGTCCTCTAATCAGTCTTCCTCACAGGCTTAAAACGTCCTTTGATCAATCTTCCTCACAGGCTGATCACGTTCTCTGATCAATCTTCCTCACTGACTGTTAGATACATTGTTTGTATACCTGCACTGCCTAGATAATTGTTTAAATACCTAACCTAACCTAACCTAACCTAACTTTAACATTATAGGAACCCTTAGACAAATCCTCTTAAGTTTCAGTATAATTTTAATGGTCCATATTTATGTGTTTTCGTCCAATAAAATTTCTTCCGGTGGAAATTGGTTTATTCAGTGGATTTTTTCGTCCAGTACAATGTTGCTCAATGGGATTTTACGTCGTGGGATTTCGTCAGGAACACAGCGTCGAAACCTTCTCCTTCATCTCTTCTTCCTCGTCCAAACCTTTCACGACTCCCTCACACTGTGGTAACTGCCCCTCCCCCCACATGATAACACCCCCCACATGATAACACCCCCACATGATAACACCCCCACATGATAACACCCCCACATGATAACACCCCCACATGATAACACCTCCACCCACATGATAACACCTCCCCTCACATGATAACACTCAGAAACAAAATCCTCACGATGTAAAATCCCACAGAGAGAAAGTGAATTGTAACATACGCTGTTACTAAGACATATGACTGATAACAACAGCCATATATAGTGTAAACATGTACACATTCCTAACGTTCAGACATAACGAGACAAAATTACGTACAGAGTGAATTCCTTGCGTGGTTCGTTCCAGGAAAAACTACTTTTAACACAGACATTTTAGGGTAACTATGTTGGTAAATTGGCGAGGCTGAGTCAGGACTTGTCGTTGCAACGTTTTTGTCTGGATCGACGCTCCTATACTTATTTCTGAAGGCATGGTTTTTGGTGCTGGAGGAGGAGGAGGAGGAGGAGGAGGAGGAGGACGGGGAGGAGGAGGCGGAAGAAGATGGAGGAAGGAGGTGGGTCATTATTAAACCATTAAGTCATCCCTCACACACACACACACACACTCACACACACACACACACACTCACACACACACACTCAATATGAAAGCCTGGTAACACGACACATTATCTCTACTTACACTCTCCACCCAAAACAATTTTACGGATTATAAACGCTCATAATACCCGACCTGACGTGGAACAGAAATACACCATGATATATTGGTGAAAA